GGTTAGGGTTAGGGTTAGGAAATGGGGACGTTTTAGGGTATAGGTTAAGGTATGACAACAGTTTAGGGTTAGCGTACGTGTTAGGGTATGGGTTAGTGTTAGTGTACAGGTTAGGATTAGGGGATGGGTTATGGTAAGGCTTCAGGTAAGTTTTAGGATTAGGGTTCGGGTTAGGGTTAGGGAATGAGGATGGTTTAGGGTACAGGTTAGGGTACGACAACGGTTTAGGTTTAGCGTACATGTTAGGGTTCGGGTTAGTGTTAGTGTACGCGTTAGGATTAGGGGACGGGTTAGGATAAGGCTTCGGGTTAGGGTTAGGGTTAGGGTTAGGGAATGGGGACGTTTTAGGGTACAGTTTAGGGTACGACAACGGTTTAGGGTTAGGGTACATGTTAGGGTATGGGTGTTAGTGTACGGGTTAGGATTAAGGGACGGGTTAGGGTAAGGCTTCGGGTAAGTGTTGGGGTTCTGGTTAGGGTTAGGGTTAGGGAACAGGGACAGTTTCGGGTACAGGTTACGGTACGACAATGGTTTAGGGTTAGCGTACGTGTAAGGTAATGGGTTATTGTTAGTGTACGGGTTAGGATTGGGGACGGGTGAGGGTAAGGCTTTGGTTAAGTGTTAGGTTTAGAGTTCGGGTTAGGGTTAGGGTTAGGGAACGGGGACGGTTTAGGGTACAGGTTAGGGTATGACAACGGTTTAGGGTTAGCGTACGTGTTAGGATACGGGTTAGTGTTAGTGTACGGGTTAGGATTAGGAGACGGGTTAGCGTAAGGCTTCGGATAACTGTTAGGGTTAGGGTTCGGGTTATGGTTAGGGTTAGGGAATGGGGACGGTTTAGGGTACATGTTAGAGTACAACAATGGTTTAGGGTTAGCGTACGTGTTAGGATACGGGTTAGTGTTAGTGTACAGGTTAGGATTAGGGGACGGGTTAGGGTAATGCTTCAGGTTAGCGTTAAGGTGAGGGTTAGGTTTAGGGTTAGGGAACGGGGACGGTTTAGGGTACAGATTAGGGTACGACAACGGTTTTGGGTTAGCATACGTGTTAGGGTACGGGTTAGTGTTAGTGTACGGGTTAGGATTAGGGGGCGATTTAGGGTAAGGCTTCGAGTAAGGGTTATGGTTAGGGTTCAGGTTAGAGTTAGGGTTAGGGAATGGGGACGGTTTAGGGTACAGGTTAGGGTATGACAACTGCTTAGGGTTCGCTTACGTGTTAGGATTTGCGTTAGTGTTAGTGTACGGGTTAGGATTAGGGGACGGTTTAGGGTAAGACTTCGGGAAAGGGTAAGGGTTAGGGTTTGGGTTAGGGTTAGGGTTAGGGAATGGGGATGGTTTAGGGTACAGGTTAGGTTATGACAACGGTTTACGGTTAGCATACGTGTTAGGGTATGGGTCTGTGTTAGTGTACGGTTAGGATTAGGGTTCGGGTTAGGGTTAGGGTTAGGGAACGGGGAAGGTTTAGGGTACAGGTTAGGGTACGACAATGGTTTAGGGTTAGCGTACGTGTTAGGATACGGGTTAGTGTTAGTGTACGAGTTAGGAATAGGGGAAGGGTTAGGGTAAGACTTTGGGTAAGGCTTAGGGTTAGGGTTCGGGTTAGGGATAGGGTTAGGGTACGGGAACGGTTTAGGGTACAGGTTAGGGTACAACAACGGTTTAGGGTTAGCGTACGTGTTAGGGTATGGGTTAGTGTTAGTGTACGGGTTCGGATTAGGGGACGGTTTAGGGTAAGGCTTCGGGTAAGGGTTAGGTTTAGGGTTCGGGTTAGGGTTAGGGTTAGGGAACGGGGACGGTTTAGATTACAGGTTAGTGTACGATAACAGTTTAGGGTTAGTGTATGTGTTAGGGTATGGGTTAGTGTTAGTGTACGGGTTAGGATTAGTGTACGGGTTAGGGTAAGGCTTCGGGTAAATGTCAGGGTTAGGGTACGGGTTGGGGTTAGAGTTAGGGTTGGGGTTAGGGTTAGGTAACGCGGACGGTTTAGGGTACAGGTTAGGGTATGACAACGGTTTAGGGTTCGCGTACGTGTTAGGATTTGCGTTAGTGTTAGTGTACGGGTTAGTATTAGGGGACGGTTTAGGGTAAGGCTTCGGGAAAGGGTTAGGGTTGGGTTAGGGTTAGGGTTTGGGAACGGGGACGGTTTAGGGTACAGGTTAGGATACAACAACAGTTTAGGGTTAGTGTACGTGTTAGGGTATGGGTTAGTGTTAGTGTACGTGCTACGATTAGGGGACGGGTTAGGGTAGGGTTTCGTGTAAGGGTCACAGTTAGGGTTCGGGTTAGGGTTAGGGAACGGGGACGTTGTAGGTTACAATTTAGGGTACGACAAAGGTTTAGGGTTAGCATACGTGTTAGGGTATGGGTTAGTGTTATTGTACGGGTTAGGATTAGGGGACGGTTTAGGGTAAGGCTTCGGGTAAGGGTCAGGGTTAGGATTAGGGAACGGGGACGGTTTCGGGTACAGGTTAGGGTATGACAACAGTTTAAGGTTAGCGTACTTGTTAGGGTACTGGCTAGTGTTAGTGTATGGGTTAAGATTAGGGAACGGGTTAGGCTAAGGCTTCGGGTAAGGGTTTGGGTTAGGGTTTGGGTTAGGGTTAGGGTTAGGCTAGGGTACGACAAAGGTTTAGGGTTAGCGTACGTGTTAGGATACGGCTTAGTGTTAGCGTACGAGTTAGGATTAGGGGACGGGTTAGGGTAATGCTTCGGGTTAGCGTTAGGGTGAGGGTTAGTTTTAGGGTTAGGAAACGGGGACAGTTTAGGGTACAGATTAGGGTACGACAACGGTTTTGGGTTAGCATAAGTGTTAGGGTACGGGTTAGTGTTAGTGTACGGGTTAGGATTGGGGTCGGGTTAGGGTAAGGCTTCGGGTAAGGGTTAGGTTTAGGGTTCGGGTTCGGGGTAGGGTCAGGGAACGGGGACGGTTTTGGGTATAGTTGAGGGTACGACAACGGTTTAGGGTTAGTGTACGTGTTAGGGTACGGGTTACTGTTAGAGTACTGGTTAGTATTCGGGGATGGGTTAGGATAAGGCTTCGGGTAAGGGTTAGGGTTAGGGTTAGGGAATGGGGACGGTTTAGGGTACAGGTTAGTGTATGACAACGGTTTAGGGTTAGCGTACGTGTTAGGGTATGGGTTAGTGTTAGTGTATGGATTAGGATTAGGGGATGGGTTAGGGTAAGGCTTCTGGTAAGGGTTAGAGTTCGCATTCAGGTTAGTATTAGGGTTAGGGAACAGGGGCGTTTTAGGGTACAGTTTAGGGTACGACAACGGTTTACGGTTAGCGTACGTGTTAGGATACGGGTTAGTGTTAGTGTATGGGTTAGGATTAGGGGACGGGTTAGGGTAAGGCTTCGAGTAAGGGTTAGGTTTAGCGTTCTGGTTAGGGTTAAGTAACAGGGAAAGTTTAGGGTACAGGTTAGGGTACGACAACAGTTTAGGTTTAGTGTACGTGTTAGGGTTCAGGTTAGTGTTTGTGTACTGGTTAGGATTAGGGGACGGGTTACAGTAAGGCTTCGGGTAAGTGTTAGTGTTTGGGTTAGGGTTAGGGTTAGGGAACATGGACGGTTTAGGGTACAGGCTAGGGTACGACAACGGTTTAGTGTTAGCGTACGTCTTAAGGTACAGGTTAGTGTTAGTGTACAGGTTAGGATTGGGGGCGGTTTAGGGTAAGGCTTCGGGTAAGTGTTATGGTTAGGGTTCGGGTTAGAGTTAGGGTTAGGGAATGGGGACGGTTTAGGGTACAGGTTAGGGTACTACAACAGTTTAGGGTTAGCATACGTGTTAGGGTACGGGTTAGTGTTAGTGTACGGGTTAGGATTAGGGGACGGGTAAGCGTAAGGCTTCGGGTAAGGTTTAAGGTTAGGGAATGGGGATGGTTTAGGGTACAGGTTAGGGTACGACAACGGTTTAGGGTTAGCGTACGTGTTAGGGTACAGGTTAGTGTTAGTGTACGGGTTAGGATTAGGGGACGGGTTAGGGTAAGGCTTCGGGATAAGGGTATGGTTAGCGTTCAGGTTAGGGTTAGGGTTAGGGAACTGAGACGGTTTAGGGTACAGGTTAGGGTAAAACAACTCTTAAGGGTTAGCGTAGTTGTTATGGTATGGTCTAGTGTTAGTGTACGGGTTAGTATTAGGGGACAGTTTAGGGTAAGGCTTCGCGTAAGGGTTAGAGTTAGGGTTCGGGTTAGGTTTATCATTAGGGAACGGGGACGGTTTAGGGTACAGGTTAGGGTACGACAACGGTTTAGAGTTAGCGTGCGTGTTAGGGTATGGGTTAGTGTTAGTGTACGGGTTAGAATTAGGGGACGGGTTAGGGTAAGGCTTCGCGTAAGTGTTATGTTTAGGGTTAGGGAACGGGGACGGTTTAGGGTACAGGTTACGGTATGACAACGGTTTAGGGTTAGCGTACGTGTTAGGGTATGGGTTAGTGTTAGTGTACAGGTTAGGATTTGGGGACAGGTTAGGGTAAGGCTTCGGGTAAGGGTAAGGGTTAGTGTTCAGGTTAGGATTAGGGTTAGGGCACGGGGACGCTTTAGGGTACAGGTTAGGGTACGACAACGGCTTAGGGTTAGCGTATGTGTTGGGGTACGGGTTAGTGTTAGTGTACAGGTTAGGATTAGGGTAAGGGTTAGGGTAAGGCTTTGGGTAAGGGTTAGGGTTACCGGTAGGGTTAGGGTTAGGGTTGGGGAATGGCTGCAATTTAGGGTACAGGTTAGGGTACGACAATGGTTTAGGGTTAGTGTATGTATTATGGTACGGGTTAGTGCTAGTGTTCGGGTGAGGTTTAGGTTACGGCTTAGGGTAAGGCTTCAGGGAAGGGTTAGGGTTATGCTTAGTGTTAGGGTTTGGGAACGGGTAAGGTTTAGGGTACATGTTAGGTTACGACAGTAGTTTACCATTAGCGTACATGTTATGGTATGGGTTAGTGTTAGTGTACAGTTTATGATTAAGGTACATGTTAGGGTAAGGCTTTGGGTAAGGGTTAGGATTAGGGTTAGGGTTCGGGTTAGTGTTAGGGAACGGGTACAGTTTAGACCACAGGTTCGTGTACGGTAACAGTTTCGGTTTAGCATAAGTGTTACTGTACAGTTTAGGGTAGGGCTTTGGGGAAGGGTTAGTGTTAGGGTTAGGGTTAGAATTAGGGAACGAGTACAATTTAGGGTACAGGTTAGGGTACCACAACGGGTTAGGTTTAGGGTACGTGTTATGGTACGGTTTAGTGTTAGTGTATGTGTTAGGATTAGGGTACTGGTTAGGGTAAGGGTTAGAGTTAGAATGAAAGAACAGGTACGGATTAAAGTACAGGTTAGAGTACGATAACGGGTTAGGGTTAGGGTACGTGTTAGGCTACGAGTTAGTTTTAGGGTACAGGTTTGGATTAGGGTATGGTTTAGGGTATGGCTGTGGGTTAGCGTTAAGGTACGGGTTAGGGTACGAGTTAGTGTTTTTGTATGGGTTAGTAGTAGTTTATGGTTTTGTGTTAGTGCATGGATTAGGATTAGTGTGTTGGTTAGGGTAAGGGTTAGGGTTAGGTTTAGGAAACAGATACGGATTAGAGTACATGTTAGCGTATGACAATGGTTTAGCGTTAGGGTACCTGTTAGGGTACGGGTTAGTGTTAGGGTACAGCTTAGGTTTAGGGTATGGGTTAGGGTACATGGTAGGTTATGGGTTAGTGTTAGTGTACGGGTTAGGATTAGGGTTAAGGTTAGGGAATGGGTATGGTTTAGGGTACAGGTTAAGGTACGAAAATGGTTTTGGTTTATGGTACGTGTTAGGGTATGTGTTAGAGTTAGTGTATGGTTTAGGATTAGGGTATGGGTTAGGCTAAGGTTTAGGGTTAGGATTAGGGTTAGGGAACGGATACAGTTTTGGGTACAGGTTAGCATACGAAAACGGGTTAGGTTTAGGTTTCATGTTAGGACACTGGTTAGAGTTAATGTACGGTTTAGGATTAGAGTATTGGTTAGGGTAAGGTCTAGGCTTAGGGTTAGGTTTAGGGAACAGGTACGGTTTAGGGTACAGCTTAGGGTACCCCAACGGGTTAGGGTTAGTGTACGTGTTAGGGTCCGTGTTAGTGATAGTGTACAGGTTAGGATTAGGGTACATGTACAGGTTAGGTTTAGGGTTCGTGTTAGGGAATGGGTACGGTTTAGGGTACAGGTTAGGGTACGACAACTTGTTAGCTTTAGGGTATGGGTTATTGTTAGTGTACAGGTTAGTGTTAGGGTTAGGGTTAGTGTTAGGTTTAGGGTTAGGGTACAATTTAGGGTATGGCTATGGGTTAGGTTTATGGTATGGGTTAGGGTATTGTTTAGTGTTAGGGTACGGGTTAGATTTAGGTTATGTTTAGGGTTAGGGTTAGTGTAGTGTTTAGCGTACAAGTTAGGGTACGGCACTATGTTCGGATACGGTTTAGGGTACAGTTTAGTGTTAGGGTGCCTGTTAGAATTAGGGTACATTTTAATGTACGGTTTAGGGTTAGGGTCAGGCTGCGGGTTTGTGTTAGGTTACAGTTTAGGGTTGGCTATGGTTTAGGGTTAGGGTAAGTGTTAGGTTATGGGTTAGAGTTAGTGTGCGGTTTAGGATTAGGGTACAGGTTAGGGTAATGTTTAGCGTTAGGGTTGGGTTTACGTTTAGGGAACGGGTACGGTATAGGGTACAGGTTAGGTTACGACAACGGGTTAGGGTTAGGATACGTCTTAGGGTACGTGTTAGTTCAGTGTACGGGTTAGGATTAGGGTACCAGTACGGATTAGGGTTAGGGCTCGTATTACAGAACGGGTACTGTTTAGGATACAGGTTAGGGAACGACAACGGGTTAGGATTAAGGTACGTGTTAGGGTACCGGTTAGGGTTAGGGTATGGATTACTGTTAGGGCACAGGTTAGGGTTAGGTTTAGGTTATGGGTTAGGGTACAGATTAGTGTACGGCTATGGGTTAGCATTAGGATATGGGTTAGGTTATGGGTTAGGATTATGGTACAGGTTAGTTTTAGGGTACGGGTATGGGTTAGGTTTAGGGTACAATTTATGGTATGGTTATGGGTTAGGTTTAGGCTATGGGTTAGGGTATTGGTTAGTGTTCGTGTACGGGTTAGGTTTAGTTTTATTTTCAGGGTTAGGGTTAGTGTAGTGTTTAGCATACAGGTTAGGGTATGGCAACGGGTTAGGATATGGGTTAAGGTACAGTTTAGTGTTTGGGTAGGGGTTAGGATTAGGGTACTGTTTAAGGTACGGGTTAGGGTTAGTGTTAGGGTGCAGGTTAGTGTTAGGGTACAATTTAGGGTATGGCTATGTGTTAGGGTTATGGTACATCTTAGGGTACAGGTTAGTGTTAGTGTACGGGTTAGGATTAGGTTACGGTTTAGGGTATGGGTTAGTGTTAGGGTACAGGTTAAGATACAGGTTAGCGTTAGGCTTAGGGTACGGGTTAGGGTACATTTTAGGGCATGACTACTGGTTAGGGTTAGGGTATCTCTTAGGGTATGGATTTGTGTTAGGTTATGGGTTAGGATTAGGATACGGTTTAGTGTACAGGTTATGGTTAGTGTTAGGGTACGCTTTAGGGTTAGGGTATTTATTAAACCTCTCCCACTCTCCAGATATCACTTAGCGTGTAAAGATATATTATTTGGGGTCCAGCCATGGAGAAGACTTCAGACTCTAGGATACGACAACACACACCTTATAAATAAGTCACATTAGGATTTTGTTTTTAACCTGTACATTAAAACACTAGTGCTTTGGAAATCTAATGGAGGCAGAAGCAGGAAAGGGTAGTATTATGGGAATAACATCACAGATATTTTGTAGAATACACAGATTTTGACTGGTTAGAAAGTCAAGGAGGAATGCTTTCGTTCTGAACATATAAATCCTTTTCTAAATTGAGCTGTTATTGGAAGTTAGAAAATTTTTGTTGCTTTTGTATTGCTTTGTATTTTCATGATTATTCTGCTTGCATCTCCCTTGTTAAACCTTTGATTTGGGGAAGTGTGCCCTACTGGAAATGAGTTTACAGAATTATTCTCAAAAACAGAAGGAAATGGTTCTCACCTAAATATTAAGAAATAATCTCTATACTGGTGTACTAACAGAATTCTGATTCAGGGATGATAATTCTATGAAATGTAATTAAACACACAATATATATCTTTTTCTTTTAAATTTCCATTGTTATTTTTTAGAGTACAATTATAATTCAAATTCTTGGTAACAAGTGAAATTTAAAAAGATTAAAGGAAAAGAAAATATTTTATTACTTGCCATCCTTTCCCACTCCCTGAACCGACCAGCATAATGTGTAGCTTTCTCACTTTATCCAGGTGTTCCTTACATCTGGAGCATCATGTTTCTCACTGTCGAAAAACAGATTTAGCTCTCACACTTTTTATAGGCTACATAACAGTCCTTAGAACAGAAGTACCAAGTATTTCACACTTAGTTTTTTGAGGGACACTCAGGTTACTTTCTGTTTTATTTTGTTGTTCTGCTAATTTGTTTTAACCCCAGAAAAATATTTTTTTAAATACAAAAAAAAAACTAAGGGGTAAGGATTAGGGTTTAGGGTCCGGGTTAGGGTCTGGGTTAGGCTTAGGGTACAGGTTAGGATTAGGGTACAGGTTAGGGTTAGGGTATGGGTTAGGGTACAGGTTAGGGTATGGCTGCGGGTTAGGGTTAGGGTACGGGTTAGGGTACGGGCTAGGGTACAAGTTAGGATTACGGTACGGGTAAGGGTTAGAGTATGGGTACGGGTACGGGTTAGGGTTAGGGTATAGGTTAAGGTTAGGTTTAGGGTTAGGGTTAGGTTTAGTGTACGGTTTAGAGTACACATTAGAGTATGGCTACGGGTTAGGGTTAGGATATGGGTTAGGGTACAGTTTAGTGTTAGGTTATGGGTTAGTATTCGGGTACAGGTAAACCTCAAGTCTACAGTTGTTCACATAGTCCACCGCCTCAATTTTGGGATGATTCGTTGTCTATTCAGGTATTCCACAGATGCAGGGTACATCAAGTTGATTGTGGAGATTTAATCCACTGCTCCTGAGGCTGCCCAGAGAAATTTCCCTTTTTCTTCTTTATTTGCACAGCTCCTGGGGTTCATCTTTGCTTTTGGCCCCACCTCTGCATGTAAGTCACCCTCTGGCATCTGTTCTTCACCCAGACAGGAGGGGATTAAAAGAGCGGCTGATTAGGAGGCTCTGGCTCACTCAGGCCAGGGGAGGGAGGGGTATGGAATGCGGAGTGAGCCTGCAGTGTCAGCAGCTGGTGTGACATTGCAACAGACTGAGTTGCACCGTGTGTTCTCCAGGGCAAGTTGTCCCTGGATAACGGGACCCTGGCAGTGGTGGGCTGCACAGACTCCCGGGAGGGGAGATGTGGATAGTGACCTGTGCTTGCACACAGGATTGTTGGTGGCTGCAGTAGCAGCCTTAGGGTTTCATGCCCGTCTCTGGTGTCTGCACTGATAGCCATGGCTCACGCCCGTTTCTGGAGCTCATTTAGGCGGTACTCTGAATCCCCGCTCCTTGTGCACCCCAAAACAATGGTCTTTTGCCTCTTAGGCAGTTCCAGACTTTTTCCCGGACTTCCTTCCAGCTAGCTGTGGCACACTAGCCCCCTTCAGCCCCCTCTGAAGCCCGAGCCTCAGCTCCCAGCCCCCACCCTCCCGGTGGGTAAGCAGATAAGCCTCTCAGGCTGGTGAGTGCTGCTCTGCACCAATCCTCTGTGTGGGAATCTCTCCACTTTGCCCTCCGCAACCCTGTTGCTGTGCTCTCCTCTGTAGCTCCGAAGCTTCCCCCCTTGCCCCTCCCCTGTCTCCACTAGTGAAGGGGCTTCCCAGTGTGTGGAAACTTTTCCTCCTTCACAGCTCCCTCTCAGAGGTGCATGTCCCATTCCTATTCTTTTGCCTCTTTTTTTTCTTTTTTCTTTTTCCCCACCCAGGTATGTGGGAGTTTCTTGCCTTTTGGGAAATCTGAGGTCTTCTGCCAGCGTTCAGTAGGTGTTCTGTAGGAGTTGTTCCACATGTAGATGTATTTTTGATGTATTTGTGGAGAGGAAGGTGATCTCCACATCTTACTCCTCCACCATCTTGAAGGTCCCTCACACATCCTTTATAAAAGAAATATTCACCACCTCCTCACTCTCCGCTTATGAGCATGATTCTTCTTTCACTAAAAATAAAAAATCAGGACAGAATTTTCTAATCCTACTATAACAATTCTATTTCCATCTCTGCCCCCTTTTAATATGATAACATTCTCTCCAATTTAACATCAGCTATCCCACGTCTGTGCAGACTCCATCATGTCTTGCTTCCTTAGGGGGCAAGTTTCACAAATGTCTCAAGTTATTTCCTCTCCTCCTGATTAAAATATAATCTCTCCTCAGTACAATTATGCAGGAAAATTAGATGGAAGTCTTTCATTTTATATCAATCTCTAATGGCCATTTCTTTGTTCCCCATTTTAACCAGTGCCATCAAAAGAGTATTCTCAACTCACCAATCCACTTCAATGTTGTTAGCAATCCAATTAAACAAGGTTATTATTTCCAGCATTCATTTTAGTATTTCAGTTCTCAGCTTAGTGTACCGTCACCCTCCTTGTGGTTAGCTGATTAACTACTTATTCTTGAAGTACTCATTTTACCGTGTTTTCACTATTTTCCTGCTTTTCCTTCTACTTAGCTGGTTCCTTCTTTAAGATATCCTGTTGTTAAATCTTCTTTATCTTCTAAAGTACTGGATGTTGGAAATGTTGGCAGAAGTTCTAAGGCTTTTTTGTAAGAGTGATTCATAATGCTGTAAGTAAAGAGAAGGGCTTTGGGAATGTAGAAAGATGGAGGAAAGAAAAAGAACAGAGTTATGAAAGTGGGAGACACTTCCTTAGTTTGCAAATAATTTGATTCTGAATAATAGAGTTAAAGGGACTGAAAGTAGTAAAAAATTTGCCTAACAACCTCCCTCAGTTTCATTCAGTTCAATTTATGTTGATATCCAGTAAACAAGTAATACCTCCTCTACAATTCCTTACCATTTTACATATGTCAAGATTAATTTTTCTTTAAGTTCTTAGAGTTCTCATTCTCTCCCCTTAGTCCCTGCAAAATATTAAAGCTAATTGTCAGAATTAAGTTAATCTATTTCCCATAAACTCTTCCTGTGAATATAAGAAGATTGAATATGTGACTTGCATTTTTGAGGACCTGGTACCAAATATAAAGAAGGCAAGCTGTCCAGGATGTGCTCATTTTCAGAATCTGTCTGATGGAAACATTGGAATGTTTTACTCTGAAATGCAGTTTTACTTCTTCCACATTCCATTTTCTTTATTAGTTAACAATTGAATTATTTAATAATAAGGTCTACTAGTCCTCTATTCCATTCTCTTGAACTTGTGACTGAGCAACATTTATATACTTCTATTATAGAGTTCAACTGATTATTTTATTATGTCTGTTTATGTGATTTTTTTTCTTCTTGTTTAAAAGCATTTTGAGGGAAGTGCTTCCTAGAATAGATTCTCTTATGATTCTTTTTAATAACAATGCAATAGAAAGTTCTAGAAACTGAAGAGAAACAAACTTAAGTGTTCCATTGGTTTCTTTAAGATATTATTAACACTGTTTCCAGTCCTCTGTCTCAAGGTGAGATTTTAAATCACTTTAATATTCCAGCACAGAAGTAGTGCTGATCATTCGGTAATTTGATATACAAGAGACAGTTTGCTCCCCAAAGCAGTC